TCCTAGTCAAGTGTTCGTACCAGTCTGGCCGTAGTTTTTTCTTGCGTGTGCACAAGCCGGCTGTAATCGCTCGTCGCAGCGTCACTGACAGGATCGAGCAAGACGCGCGTTCACTGTGTCGCAGCACGAACGAAACGCATTCGGAGAACTGGACGAACTACGATGAACGATGCGAGACGCCATGGCTAGTGGTGTAAAATATAAACTGCACAACGTTGCCAGATGAGTAACGCACATCCTGCTTGCTCTTCTGTTGTACCATTTATGTTCATAAAGTTAACCATTTATTGTACGACTCATTTCGTTCCAAATTGTTTCATTTACACCTATTCACCGTAGTAGCTGAAGCCAAACTTTCGTTTTTTCATGAAACACTTGAACCTTCTAGGGGGCGCTCCAAGAACATTGGTGAGGAGCAAAGGGAAAGGTGTCGCTACCTTGGAAACTTGTTTCATCTAGGGACCTTAAGTATGTGCCAAGACCAGCGCCTAGCGTAGCAACGCCGGCGAGCACGCGCACCGCGTCACGTCGAAAGGTATTGGTGCCTTGACTGTGGCATGTAGTCATGTTCTCACATGACACGCATTCCATGATTATCATGTTTGCACCTGTTACATACCTTCGTCAATATTGGCGTCACGTAATACCAAATTTGGCATATGTGAAGCTAGCGAAACGGCCGCGAGTGCATCTTCAGTGTGGCATGCAGTCATGTTGTTAGATGACGCGCATGTTGCGATTATCATGTTTGCATGTGTCGTTTACCTATGTCGTCTGTTCGCGTCACGTAATACCGAGTTTGGTACATGTGAAGCTAGCTAAACGGCCGTGAGTGCATCAAGAGCTTAGCATGAAATCATGTTGTTACAAAACACGGATCTCATGCTTATCATGTTTGCACAAGTAGTATATTATATTAACCTGAGCAAATGTATAGGTGGAGGGACCTTAGTCAGGCAGAGGTAATCTGCCTTTAGTTCCTTCAACCAAGGCAATCATTGTTTTTGTCTGAATAAACAGTGAATGAATGAATGAATGATTGAATATCTTCGTCACTCATTCAAATCCCGTAATAGCAAATTAAGTATAAGTGAAGCTAGGAAAACTGCCACCAGCGCATCAAGAGGGTGGCACGTAGTCTCGTTGTTACATGACATGCATACCATGAAATAAATGTTTGCACCAGTCACATGCCTTCGTTATTCATTCACGTACTGTAATAGAAAATTTGGTATATGTGACGCTATAGCAAAACAGCTGCGAGAGCATCATGAGTATGGCATGTAGTCATGTTGTTACATGACACGCATGTCATGATTTTCATGATAGGGTCTGTCAGTTGTGTTCACCATGCAATCGTGCCATACCATACCAGTTTTTCAACATGTCATGCCAACGAAACCACCGCAAGAGCTGCAGGCCATGAAATATAAATCATGACACCCATGGCATACATATCATGATTTTCATGTTATGACTAGTTAAATGTGCTCGTCATATAGTCATGTTATGCCATACCAACTTTGGCATCGATGCTATGATCCAAACGGCCAGGAGAGTTAAAAGTCGTAGGCGGCTAGATAGATCGATAGATAGATAGATAGATAGATAGATAGATAGATAGATAGATAGATAGATAGATAGATAGAGAGATACGCTTAAATTTGCTGAAGTTTGCTAAGGAATGCTTCGCATTTAAAAAACACCAGACTTGCGCGTAAGGCGCTGCACAGTCACCACGAAAGATTGAAGAGCGTATTTTCAGAGCTTTTTCTAAACACTCTTTGGATATCATCTGCAAGCACACTTGCTTGATACCCACTATGGCATTAATAATAACATTTTTGTGTATTAAACGCTAGCATTCGCTACGCTATTTTTCGTCACTCTCCTGAGAAGAGTGGTATCTGTTTAACACTTGCAAAAAATTGTGCCATTTGTTCATGCAGTGGTTGAGGACGATGAGGAATTGTGCCTGAAGTGAGTATGCGTCAAAGTTAAACAGGAGCAAGCTTTTGTAATGGGTTGGAGCATCGAACAACCCACTCGATGTGCTATTGGCATTGTCCGACGACTGGTTGTTCTTTCGCTGTTTTAAAACGCTTTATAAGTCTTATTAAACGATTGCTTTCCCGACATCAAGCCTGCCTAAGGCAAGTTTTCCAACAAGTCCCAAGCACCAGCCTAGCTCTGTGGTAGAAGACTGGGCTGGCACACAGCGGACCTAGTTTGGAGCTCCACTGTGCTTTTGGTTCTAGGTTTGCCAACAAGTCGCAAGCACCAGCGCAGCTCAGCGGTAAAATACTGTGCTCGCGGTCCCGGATAGTCCAATAATCTAACTACGGTTTGACAGGAACAATCAGCGCACCTAGTTGTCATTTTCCCCCCGAAACGTCAACGAATTTTAACTATCGACCTAAATTCATTACCAAGAAAACTTGACCTATTATCCTGATCAAACCGTGGAAGACAATGAAGCAGATACACTGACGTGCCTGCCGTTTTCTGAATAGCGCCCTTATACTAGCGCATTACTAATGAAGTAATGCAATAAGTCAGCGTACTACAAAAATGAAAAGGGAAATAGCAATAACCGTCAGCGACACGGCATCATTTCAGGAAACGACTTACTTTTGTTGCTTCTGTGCACAAGTGGGAAGAAAAGACCACTAACCTTGAGGTAACTATATATATAATATTCTTGCGGTGCTCTTCCTTTATGTTAGATCTCGTTGAACTGCTTTACTAGACGTAATTGCTTAGGCGAACGTAGTACCATGTCCAACGACACATTAAATGGGGACAGTTTAAGCAGAAATTTGAAAATGCTCTGTCTTAGTAATAATGCTCGCTGATTGCACATAACCATCGCATATAACTTGTAAATCATCGAATTTAGTGTATAAACTATGTTATGATCGACTATAAAATTAGTAATTGTATTTACAGTGTCAATAAAATTGATTGGTCGAAAATACGCTGTAATTTATTACCCCTTCTACTTGCGCTGTATTTAGCCTCCAGAACCTTGCCATCCAATCGAGGGAAGTATGTAAGCGCATTTATAGACAGTCGCTTATAATGTGGGTTATAAAGGGTTGATCATTCTACTAAAAACGTGAGGTGATCACAGTGAAAACTGCTAAGTCTGCTACTGACTCAGCTACCGAGGCGTCACAAGCCGACGCGTTCAACCAGGATCATATTGAATGACGGATGAATCCACGAAAAAGATAACAGCGTCCTCCGCAGAAGCATAGTAAGTGTGTGATTCCGTTGTACCGAACAGTTGGTGACCGTAAAAAAAAACTCAATATAAGCAGCACACTTTCAAAAGTACCAAGAAACACAACAAATCTGGGCAGGTGAAGTTTTGCAGTACTTTCAATCATGATGAGCCCACGTCAACACGACATCTCTAGATGTAGACACAAATCTACTGGGTCTTACTGCTTTGAAGTGAGTGAAAGTAGCCCACGTGCCATATTTGTATAGAAAACATATCACAACAGCCGTGCTTTCAGCCGTGAGAATCTGATCAAACAGAAGTTTGGTGCGTGCATGCTCTGAAAAACAAAAATTGCGCAGCATACGCTAGTGGTGCAAAGCTTGACCAAACAGCATGGCATGGTGGCATCTCGCGTTTCTCTTTATTTTCATTTCACTTTCTCTCTTTCGCGTTGATGTGTGTTTTTTCTGTCTTTTTTTGCGAGAAGTTGTTTTTTGATTTGATTTTGTGGGGTTTAACGTCCCAAAACCACCATATGATTATGAGAGACGCCGTAGTGGAGGGCTCCGGAAATTTCGACCACCAGGTGTTCTGTAACGTGCACTTAAATCTGAGCACACGGGCCTACGGCATTTCCGTCTCCATCGGCAAGGTGTTTGTTCGGGCTAGTTGGCGTTCCAGTGAACTGCTGTGTAATGCCAACTGTAGGGACAATAAGGAAGAGGATGCGGCACACATAGCGCTTGTGCGTATCGAATTTTCTTGGCTCCCGCCTCTAAAGTTAGCGCTATATAGCAGCTTATCTCAGGCTTTCTGTTTCCTCGTTCCTCTCTTCATCTATTTCTTGATGTTTCTCAGTTTTAAGCTTTTTTATATGTTTCTTCCACTCGTTTCTTTCTGTACGATTCGTTTCCTCTATCGTTTTGTCTCTTTATATACCTAACTCTGTCAATTTATGTCGCTTTTTTTTCTGTCTTTCACATTTTCTTCCCTCTTCCTTCCTTCCCTTTTCTCTCTTTTTTTCGTTGTTTCTTTTTCTTCCTTGCTGTGTTTCTTTGTTTTTCCCCTCTCTCTTTATGTATCTCTCTTTCTGTACTCGTTCTGAGCCTATCTGAGCTATTGCATGCATCCCGCGCTGGACAAACAGGCACAGTGGGGGAGGATACACGCATGGCGCACGTAGCCAAGCAGAAGATGAAAAAAGAAGACGAGGAGAACATGCGCCAACTGAAATATTGCCCGACCAGAAATTTAGAATCTACATATACATCTACATATTGCCCCACAAACGCCAGGCACTGCCAGGTGATAGATGGCGCGAGATACCAAATGAGATTGGGGCCATTTATGATGATAATATAGATATTGCTGAGCAAGGAGTTGACCACGACTCAAATGCCATGGCCATGGCCATAATTATCGGCCATGCCCATGGTTAATGCAAGCAAAGAGGCATGAACATTTTGCGCTTTTCAGTACAGATGGGCCACCCTATATTTTCCAATAAATTATTACATTTCTGCACCAGCATGAAATAACAAAACAATAACTTCAAATTACGTTCGTGCTTGACCAGTTTTTGAGTGTCACCATATAATTAAAAAATGTTTGAACAAGTAGAAACAGTGCGCTTACTAAGGAATGAAGTTTATTGAACGAGGCGCACATAAAGTGGATAGCTTGAGAACAAGCCTTGCATTATACAGGGAAATGTTAAGGGCAACCTCATACACACATAGTCTTGAATGTTAAAGTGCGAAGAACTTCGATGCACTGATCAGATTCTGTCTTTCAATAATGATTTCAAGAAGCATACTTTGAACGCTGTCCTCCACTATATTTGGTGACTGAAGGATTTCAGCCAACATCACTTCAGAGATGTCTCAGGAACACTGGTAAGGGTGAGGTTTTTTTATAGATTGATTAGTTCTGTGAGCATGCGTAGATAGGTGTTTGTCCAAATATTTATTTGTAAACAACGCATTGCGCACGAAAGTGTGCTTATTTTTAGTGTGCAACTTCGGTAAGCGTAATTCGTATGAATTACTTAGAGGGCTCTTGCAGACTGCTTCATCAGCGATGTGCTCCTATTATGTGTCATACGGGGCTACAGGTGTTTAATTGACATCAAGTACAGGGGTGCAGCTCTCCTGTATATGATGGGATACTCAAATGTAAGCGGGATAACACTACAGTTACATGAGCTAGCGTAATATGCAATTTTCACGTTAGGAGAACGCCACGAAGTTCATTTAGAGTATATTTCGTTTTGTGACATATTTGAACAAGATTTTCTGTGGCTAGAGTGATTATTTTCTCGTGAATTCAATTTCGCGCTCTCGGCATTTTCTTTCGAGATGGAAGAATGAAGTAAAAGCACGCAGCTGGAAAATTTCAATTGTGGCCGCGGCAAACTTCCTCAGCAATTATTGAGATAATAAACACTGTTTACGTGAACTCTACGATGGCTTAACTTAAGATAATGAGTGTTTGCATAGTTGAAAAAAAAGAAGGAAAGCCCATTGATGACAGACCTCATTCTACATCCATCAATTTCAGGAACGAATGCATTTATCAAAGAAATTTGCGCGCTTGTGCGTGAAGACGTACGACCAAGCATTGAAGAGTTGGAGAGGTTCTGTAGTACAGCTTAGATTAAGTTTAACATAATAGATATGGCGTTTTTTTAAATAGCCTAATGCAGGAACCGAAACTCCAATAGCTTTCACGAATGTGCAAAACTTGCATAAGTATGTGTAAGTTCAGAAAACAGCCGGAATAGAAATGGATGAAGTCCCCATTGTAATGCCAACTGAAATTAGCAGTTTCTAAAATAAAAAATGAACGAAATACTGCGACTGTTTAAATGTAATTGAGCCCTATTCATTAAACTAACACTATAGTATACGTCAACAATCGTGACCAAAAGAACAAATAATCTTTCATTTGTGTCCTAGTGGAGTTGATATAGTTCTAGTGTTCCACAATTACCTTTCCAATACTGAGTTGGCACTTACTGATGGTCATGATGTTGTTGGGGAAAACAAAGTAAGACACCGTGTTTTCCTCCTTCCCTTTGCCTCTTAGTGTTATCGACTATAACACTGAAGTATGATGTCTTCTTTCTACAACACAGTGCATTTTAAATAAAACACATGTGAAATAAACATGTTGAGCACAGCTCAGTTCTGCGAAAAAGCAGTGATCCGAAATTGGCTGGCGTAAAACATGCTAAGAAGAACAAGAAGAACTGGAGCAATCATCAACGTTTTCTATTGATGCTAAGAACGAGAAAACATTGTTGATACATCATAATAGTGCACTTTTTGCACCACCTCAGTTGCGGCACCGTTCAGGGTTTCAGCGGGATGGCTCAGTGCTCTCTCATAGTTGAGTACGAAGTACTCGAAATCGTTAAACATTTTTTCTAAACACCAAGAGCTCCACCACGGTGGTCTAGTGTTTAAAGCACTAGACTGATGACCTGCAGGTCACGAGATCAGCTGCAGTGGCTGCATTTTCGATGGAGACGAAAATGCTATAGGACCGCGTGCTCTGATTTCGGTGAACGCTAAAGAGATCCAGGTGGTCGAAATTTCCGGAACCCTCCACTACGGCATTTCTCGTAATCATATGGTTGTTTTGGGACGTTAAACCCTACATATATATCATATCAATCCTTGGTCGCTCCTCAAATCTATGTAATCACCATTAGACCATACGACGAAGAACGCCACCGACGGAAGCACAAACATGATAATAAATTTGTCATGAAATATTGCAATACCATTCTTTCGAGTAGATTTTGACTTTTTCACGAGCCAGCTCAAGCCCAAACAACATATTTCGATAAGAACCCAGTGTAACATTTATTTCTGAATAAGAATAATATTGAGCCACATATAGTTAAGCCACAATATATAACTTAGATTTCTGGTATTCAGGGACCAGAAGCACGATGGCAAAAAAAGTTGTTGCAGCAGAACCGTCTATAATGTCAGTCACAAAAAAGTCTATTCTTGTCGGTTTCGGTTAATGAGCATGAGGCTATAGTAGAAAAAAAAAAGCCACGTATGAGGATGACAAGGGTCATTGAAGTATTCTTGCTTCGAATTTTAACAAACGAGTGAGGAGGTGATCATGTGAAACAGCCCACGATTTAAACTATCAGCTTTAGAGGGACCCAAATTTTCGCTTCAAGGCTGCTATTTGTGACAAGTGATAGAGCACGTTTCACCATCCCAACACAGAACTTAAGTTTGTTTAACCTAAGTGACATTACAAGAAAACGAAAAAAATGGCAGCATATCGACGGGGTGAATGATGGAGAGTGGGGTGAAGCATCCATCTGTCCATTTGTTCTTGCTTCCGTCCATCCATGCGTCCGTCTGTGTGACCATCCATGCGTCCATTCGCCCGTCCGTGCGTGCGTCTGTTCGTGCGTCGGCACGTCCATCTGTGCGTCCGTCCCTGCGTTCGTCCATGCATCCGCCCCTGCGTCCATCCATGCGTCCGCCCATACGTGCAGCCATTCATGCGTCCGTCCATGCTTCTGTCTGTGGATCCATTCGTCCTTCTAGTCAACACTCTAAGTACCACCATCTCGCATCTTTTCATCATATATTCCGCATATAAAAGCACCGCCATCCAGCGGACATTCCAAGGACTAAACTAGATGTGGCACACGCACACTTTCTTACGTCCTGCGCTTCGTGTCTACTTCCCACCTTTAACCACCTCGAAATCATGGTATATACTAGTTCACCGTATTCATGGCACTGCGGCCCAACCCTCGCTAAACCTTTCTAAAACCAAGCAGGTTACGCCTAGAGAGTATAACCTAGCCCTCCTTTCTTGTCAGATACTGCTCAATTTACATGCCAATGGCCGCTAACTGGAAATGAGAGACAGGAGAATTTGGGTTTGAGTTAACGCTCACGCTGCAAATTTTTTATTGTTCAACAACGCACACGAAAAATCTCCCACCGGCACGCCCTTGCAGGTCAAAGCGTAAAACTGGTTACGCACTACGACTACGACGATGGATGAACGGGTGCCGCTTTAAGGATCTTCGCCCCCAAAAAAAGTCACCGAGCACGCGATACTTACTAAAGAAAAAACGTCACAGCTTTGCCACAAAGACAAAGCGTTTCTCACGCACAATTAACACACGAAATGTACTCACAGGCACAGATGAGTGCGAATAAGTATCTCAGTTGTTACTTCGCTGAGTCTGAAAAGCGCGGTTTTTTCGCAAACAAAGACTGGGCAACAATCGCAGGGACCTTTTTGCGACCGGTAACTACAACAGAATTGTTCCGGTGAAGGCCACCGGGCAGCCCAACGAATGATCCTCCCCACCGCAAGATGAGGGCGCGCGAGCGAGCGTCCACCTTCTCCTCTCTGCGGGGCAAAGTACGCTTAGGAAATGAGAGCATGCACCGCCGGGCGCTCATTGTGCCTTCTTGCTAGTAATGCTGAAAACATGGTACCAATACATATGTTTCCACATATATGTAATACCAAATTCCGTATATGTGGAGATAGTGAAACTTCCGTGAGCACGCTATGAGCGTAGCATGCAGCCATGTTTTACATGACATGCATATAATGATTATCATGTTTGGATGTGTTATTTGCCTTCGTCGTGTTTTCCCATCCCCTGATACCCTAATTTGGTATATGTAGAGCAAGCGAAACGGCAGCAACCACGCTATGAGCGTAGCATATAATCGTATTTCACATGACAAGCATGTCATGATTATCATGTTTACACGTGTCATTTACCTTCGTCGTATACTCACGTCACCTAATACGAAATTCGGTATATGTGAAACAAGCCAAACCGCTGCGAGCGTGCTATGAGCGTAGCATGTAGTCATGTTTTATATGACAAGCATGTCATTATTATTATGTTCGGACGTGTTCGACCTTTTCCATCCATTCAGCTCACTAATACGACATTTGATACATGTGAAGTTAGCGAAAGGGCCCCAAGCACTTCATGAGCCTGGTATGTTGTCATGTTAATACATAAGACTCATGTCATGATTATCAATTTTGCACAAGTCATATACTATCGTCATCCATTGACGTCACGTAACACCTAATTTGCTATATGTGAAGCTAGCGAAATGGCTCCGAGCGCATCAAGAGCGTGGAGTGTAATCATGTTCTTGCATGACACACATCTTATAATTATCAAGTTTGCACCAGCCATGTATCTTCGGCATCTATTCACGTCCAGTAATGCCAAATTTGGTGTACGTGAAGCTAGCAAAACGGCCGCGAGCGCATGAGCGTGGCATGTAGTGTTGACAAGTCATAACATGAAAATCATGACACGCATGTCATGATTTTCACGTTAGGAGTATATGAGTCGCAGGGCCGCGTCTAGTGTCTTTAGTCGCTCCTATGGGGTCGTCCTCACGCGCACGTTGGTGGGCGCATGTGCCTAAAAATGATAAATAGATAAATAAAAACAAAACAGAACTACAAAAAAATTCTTGCCGATCGCAATTGTCTTGCGACCCCACGCGAATAGAGTGAGGACGACCTTAGAGTCATGGGATGAGAACACCTCAGCTTTGGTTTTTATGGTGGCTATGTTGTCCGTCAGCCTGAGACATCTGCAGCCATTCATGTGTTCATTTTGTTTACGGCCTCAGGTTGTCTCCTGCACCGCAAGTGCGTAGCTGGTAACCTTTGTGTACGGTTTAGTTACGCGTGAGGTCCACACGTAACTGAAGCGTGGTGCGCCGACGTCGACTGCAGAGCTTCTTCTGAAGGCAAGAAGGCCACCGGAGCACATTTTGGCCCCCACTATGAAGCAGTGCGAAACGTTTTAGAACTGCGCGCCATTTTCTTCAATCTTTTAATACAACGTGGAAGTATG